AACTAAGAGGAACCACTTACCCTCCTCCTCTTCTCAAAGTTTATGAGCCCGCCCTGTTAAAAGAGCCAATTATTAGTACAGCGTTTATTTACAGGTGCATCTCAATAAATTAGAATATCATGGAAACGTCCATTTAGTAATTCAACTCCAATAGTGAAACTATTCTGAACTTGCATCTTAGCAATTGTGTAAGTGACAGTAACTATTACATGGGGGAAATGCTACGGAGGCTGTACCGTGCACACCTCTACAGTGTCTGGTAGAGCGGTGTCCAGCATGGTGAGGACGGTCAGGTACGTGCCCAGGTAAGGAACCACTCCACTGGAGGTACTCTGTGGAGAAACAACATGTAAGCACCACAGTGGTTTCCAGTGTCACTGCAGCTTTCTTGACTGCACTGAATGGGCTGAGAGTGGATGACACTGGCACAGTGTGTGTGCTCGCTTTAGGTCCCAGAAGAATGTGACTCATAAAAGACCCAGGTCTAGTCTATTATTACAGCCCTGTAATCCTGTTGATGGCAGGCTATTTGAAACGGGCCCAGCGGTGGGCAAGGCTAAACATAGGTTTGGGTAGCTGCCATGTCAGATACTCCACCCACACAGAGGCTTCTGGAGTTGGATAATATGAAACTGAACCGTGCCTGAGATCAAATGACTGTAAAACAGCACATTTTATGTGGCTGAAAAGGAAAGTTGCTGCTTAGAGTTTAGGCTGAACCAGAGCTCAGCGACTCACGCCACTGGGCCTCATCGTGTTTTCAAAGCGTCTGGCTCTGTTCTCATCCGGAGGTGATGTACGACTCACCACCTGTCTGGAGACCGGACACTGCTTGGACGTCTGGGGAGAAACGTTACCCTCAGTGGCCTGGCCTCTGTCCTGTCGAAGGAGACAGAGCTACGTTCAGTTTGAGGATATGCACTGACTCATTATAAAACAGCAACAAAAAACCTATATATTCTTTGTGTGTGCATAAACATTCAATTGTACACGTGTACACAGTGTGCGTGTACAGTACAAGGGTGCTTTAGCAGCACTAATCCAGCTTATGAAGCAAATTCAATACATAAATAGGTTTGATTACACATTAACTTGGACATCCTGTTGAACAGTGTCCTGTCTGAGAGGGAGGCCACTTCTCTCCAGTCCATCTGCAATGAGTCAACACGTGTGTGCGCTTCAACGTAGATAAAAGCTTCCTTCATAAAATGCCCTGAATACAACTTTGAATGTTATTGTGAAGGAGCAGATACTAGTGTGAGTTTATTGCTTCTCTGTTGTGTACAGAGAAAACTGGTGACTGGCCCTTTCGGTGTAATCAGACACAAGACATTTCTGACCTAACGCCTAACCCTGAACGAGGCGACATAGCAGAAAGAAGGGAACACACAGTGCTTGAGGCCTCCAGTTTCCCATTAACTCTGTTACACAGTTCTGTAAATATTAACCCAAAATTTAATCTTTTTAATTGTTAAAAAAAAGACAAACATGTTTTCTTTGTACCAGTTTGAATATGGTCACAGCCTGAAAATCGTGGATTGTGTCTTCTGCTAAAACCTGACTAAGGTATTTCAGATCAGTTCACACCATTTCCAGCTGCAATGGTAGATATCAGCCTTTAGAGGCAGTTAAATGAAACCTATGTTTTCTTAGGCAGGAAGTTAAGAGGAATCTTTCCTCTGTATCAGTTACCTTTGTTGCCTCATCTATAATTGGCATTACAGCTACATTAGTTTAGACATACAGTATTAGATTATTCTTACATGTCCCTGATGTTCCACCTCTGTTCTTTTGCATTACAAGTATCATTTATGCTTTTCACCCCAGAAAAAGTGCTATTACTAAAATTGTTAAAGTACCTGGATTTACTCTGCTGTATACTGTGGCTGACTAACAGCGGCATGCTAGCTCACGTTTAGTTGTGAATGAACTGTTGCCATAACCAAGTAGCTCAGTAGCTCACTAGTGAAACTTACAGAGACTAAAATTATGTAAAGAGGATCTTCTTTTATAGTCAGAGCAGTTTACTTTATAGCCGCCTAATATTAGCTTGCTAGCTAACAATACTGCAGCAACAACTAGCTAGCTTAGCTTAGTAGCTAAGTAGCATTAGCAATAATTAAAGAGAGAATCAAATATTTGTGAGTTTGATTGTGAAATTGATAAATATTACAAAAAAATGAAGGTGATAGAATAGAAATACTTAATTCTGAAGATCACTGTGGATCAACACAACGTACTGATTAAATATTAACACTGCAAACACTGAAGCCGGTGTAAAGTCTCACCTCGACCAGCAGCTCTCTGTTGGTCAGAACACAGTTCTCATCAGGGAAGGTTTCCCACAGGTGATCAAACGTGGCCATGCTGTCTCTACAAAAACGACAGAGACAACATGTGGTGTAAACACCAGGCACAGCACTGCTGTTAAAATCTTCTTCACCTCTTGGTCCGTGACCACAGGTTTACACCATAAACATATGCTTGATGTTTCCTTTACATTACAGTAGCTTACTGCACAGTTCCTGACCTGACACAGAACGTGGGTCAGCCAACACCAGACAATGCTGACGTGCTCTGTCACTGGGTCAGCCAACACCAGACAATGCTGACGTGTCACTGGCTGAGGGTTCGTCGCCCTCATTAAAGGGTGGTCATGTAGAACCACAACCACAGAGATAGAAACTGAAGTGGCTGTAGCCCAACTGTACCTGCCAACAGCAGCCCAGGTCTTTCTCAGCCTGTACACGGCGTTAGCCTGCAGGGCCGACAGGATCGCCCTGAGAGACGAGAAGTTCTTCAGCCGGCGACAGTCCTGCACAGGGAACAGCTTCCATTCAATGGACTCACTTCATGATAAACATGTCTTGTGCTGATTGTTATTCTCCTGACAAGAAGAGTCAGTTAATGGAGGCCTGTCTTATCACCTGTGAAACCTGGGTCAGAACTTGAACGCAGCCCAGTATTTGGACACTTTGTCACTGACCTGGGCGACTCTGATCCACTTCTCTATGATGCGGGCTCTGTGCATGGGAGTCGTGGGAGGCCAGCAGGGGGAAGTGGGACTGGAGTTGGGGTCTGTAGGCTGGCAGAGCAGGGACATGATGACCTGGTTGGTGATGGCATTGAACTGTGCAATGGTGGCCCGAATGGTGGGAGACATGTTTTCCTTCTTGTCTCTTTGTGACCACATGCAGCCCAGACACTGGTACGGTACCACTTTGACAAACAGAGCCTGAAGGCCAAGAAAACCAGTCATTAGTCTTTATTCACAAAGCAAAAGAACAGAGGTGGAAGACCAGGGACATGCTTGCACGTACCGAGTCCATCCGAGTGAGCTGCTCAGCAATGGCTGCAGCTGGGAAATCCAGGATGCCGCCTTGATCCACAGAGTTTTCACAGCCTGAATTCTCATCGCTACATCCCTCCTCATCATGTCCCAGATCTGCCAGGCCTGAACTCACATTTGTCTCAGCTTCTGAAGAAACAAAGGGATCAAGAAAATGTCAGTGTGGCTTTTTGCGGAAGGATTTCCACATTGCTGACAGCTGCAATAACGCATGACCCTCAGGTCCTGGCTTGTGTTAAACTCAGCAGCTGCTCTGCTTTTGTTGAAGTTGCTAGTTTGGCCTTGGCATGAGCCTCAGACAGCTAGCTACACCAGACAGCCCCTAGACAACCACTTTATGGGTAAATCCCAATTCCCTTATTCGATCACTCCTTGCTCCTTGTTCTGGCCCACCATTCTCAGGAGGGAGGAGCGAGGAGGCTGCTGGCGAGCTGTGAGACAGGACATACCAGAGCATCCTCACAGACGGACATGCCCCTTTATTGGAAATCAGTTGGCGATTTGACGGTTCAGGTGAAGGAGCAGAGGAAGGAACGTCTCACGTCTCTAAAATGTGTTTCCTCAAGTCTACCTCAAGTTTCCTTGAATCTTATGTGTGTGGGACTAAAATGCAAGGAAAAGATGCAAGCAAGGGAAGCGTTAAAGGAACTGAGATTCACCTTATGCTGCACTTATTTCTTCCTAGGATGACAAGAGAAACTCCATATTATTAAACAGTATCGGGGCACCACCCAGCAACCGGGAGCTGCAGCTAAAACTAAGGTCCATGTTCTGACAGCTGCACCGTGCATCCCCATGTTTTGTACTGTTGGTTCATATAATCGATTATTATCAGTGATTAATTGCTGACATCCCTACTGCTGCATGTGGAACAAGGCTTCATCGCTTTCAGTCATGTTATAAGGGGGAGCATCACCTTCTCTCCGGAACCTCTGGAGCAATGCCTCAGCTTGCCCAGCCAGCGAGCAGAAGTTGGGCTGGCTGCGCATGTTGCCGTGCACCGCAGAGCTGATTGTCAGGTGATCCAAGAGCAGCCTGAGTGCTGAGTGCAGGGGAGGATCCCTGAAGTCCTCACTGCACTCATCCAACCATGTCTGGACGAAGGCCAGCAGAGGGCTGGGGGGGGCAGTGGAGAAGTCATTACTGTTTAACCTCTGAAAGCCAGAAACGAGCTGAAGAAAGGTTCAAAAACAGTGTTAAATGAGGTCGATCAAGGGCAGAGCCATGCGCCTACCTTCCTTTGTGTTCACTGTTGTCCAGACCTGAGGCTGTGCTGTCTCTATAACAAAGAAAGCTGGGTCAGAAACGTGCACAAATCTGCACACTTCAACCTGTTTTTCTAAAGCATTATTTGCTGCTGCCAAGCAGCTATCCTCACACTGACCTCAAGTCATGTCAGCCACAGTTTAAAACCACTCTGTGCATAATAGTTGTTGTTGAAAGCCTTGGGATAATGAGCACCTGCTGGGTACGTGTTGCTACATCGAAGCAGGCAGGAGACACTGCTTTGTCAGGACAACAATGTAGAAACAGATCCTGACGCAACACGGTGACTTGTCCCAAAATCAGGCACAAAGAGGGAGCTCTTCATCACATTTAAAGGAGGCTCTGCCTTCTGATCAGGGGACAAGGCTGAACGGTTAGCTAAAATGTTAGCATGGGAATTTGAAGTGAGTGTCTCATTCAGCTACGTGTTTAGGGAATAGTTTGACATTTTGAAAGATCTGCTTGTTTGTGTTCTTGCCACGAGTTGGGCAAGAATCTGCCACTCTAATGTCTGTATGCTAAACATGGAACTACCACCAGCAGCTGGATAGCAAAGACTAGAAACAGGAAGCTGCTAGCCTACCAGCAACAAACTCAGGCAAGTCAGTAAAGAACTTGTTTCATACTGTCAAGTGTAAAAACTGTGGCCCAAGTGTGTTTTCAGACGAATGCAGCGTGAATTTGACCTGAACTTTGAGAAAATATGTGAATGAATGCTGCTGTTATGTAAATATTAGCAGCTGGTGGATCTAATGTTCAGTCGGAGGCATCGACGCAGTGCAGGAGAAGAGAACGTCATTAAAAAGCCGCAGTCAAAGCTCACGCTGTGAGAAACTGTGGGAATATGATGGAAACGTAACCTTTCTCTAGGTTTCATGTGTTAATGTGAGGAGGCCTCAGCCACCTCGTCGCTCCACATATCTGTTTTGTCCTGCTGCGGTTTCTCAGCTCCTCACTGACGTTTAAGTCACATGACTCATGTTCATCAGGATTCATTGCCCAGATCTGTTTCCTGACTATACAATGGTGTTATATTCCTTCAGCCTCATGTCTCTGTTTTATTATCAGGACTACATGTGCTGATTAATGTGCACAGTTACATATATGTTAGCAAACAGAACAGAGGTCCGTAACGTGACTGTACCTGTGGAAGAGCAGCTCTATGAGCGCTGAGGTGCTGGTGAAGGTTCTGTATGTGGACAGGAAGATCCTGCCATAGTCCTGCTCCTGGCAGCCGGGGTCCAGGAGCTGGGTCACTAGCAGGTCCAGGGTGGCGGCCTTCAGTCGCCGCACCTTGCAGGTTCGGTACTGGACAAAGGCGCAGCATGGACCTGCCTCGCTGGGGTCTGAAGCAGGAGTGACAGGCTCTCGACGCAGAGTGACCCCGTAAACTGCACCATCCTCGACCTCTTCACCCCACTCCTGCACCGGGTTCTGAGGAGGACAGAGGTGGAACAGACTGTGTGAGGTTTACACACACACTCACACTGAACAAGTGGCTGCTTATGTCTGCTAAATACACAGAGACGGGTCAGATACACAAAAACGTATCCAGTAATGATTAGAACACCAAGGTCTGAGGCCGAGGAGGTAAAAATAGCAGCAAGCCTCCACCAGGTGAATCCACACACACAAACAAGGCACCACCACTGAGACGCACACTGATCCCTATGAACCACAGGGACTACCTAATAGCTAGATGCTTACACTCATGATGAACCACAGGGACTACCTAATAGCTAATACCTACAGTGTCGGCACAAACAGGTCAGCTTGCAGTGATAACAGTTATCAAATGTCCATCCATGTCACAGGCTGGCGTTTCCCTGCAACTCAGCAACCTGACATTTCCAAGAACACATGCATGTTTATGGACAAATATGGGATTATCAAAGGCTGGTACATCACAGCAAAATACCTAAACACATGTAGAATGTCAGCGCTTCCACCGCCAACCCTAATCCTCCAGTGACCAACAGAAGGAGCTGTGCAGGCTCCTTCAGCAGCCAGCCCCGTGTCTGAGCCAGACATACTGGTTCCAGGACATATTCAGACCTTTTAGCAGCACAGCATGCAGCCTAAAGACACCCAGAGCTGCCATCTGTACCGCCCATTGAACCAGTGACTCTGTGATTTACTTGTGCAGCGTCAGGACTCTCCTGAGAGACACGTTAACACAAGGACAGTCAGAATCGGAGCAGCTCTGCTCAAGACATCCTGATTTGTTGTACCTAGTGTGGGTGAAACTCCACAGATGCTGGATCCTACATTTCCCATCATGCTTAATGACATCTTCCATAGGCTGTGTCCATAAACACTCCCTCGTTCACTCGTCCCTGTGCAAAAACGTAAAGTCAGTAGTTCATCCGGTAGTGAGCAGTAAACAGAGAGTTCAGACTGGCACTGTTATTCTGCATCATCACAAACAGCTGTAAAGTCACCGCTGTAAAATGCAGAGCATTGCATTGTGGGATTGCTAGAAAAAGCTCCTGCAGGACTGATGACCCATCTGATTTACATGCAAATGTTTCACAAATTTATACGGGTGCCCTGGAACACAAGCAGGCAGATATTCAATACGTCGTCCTAATCAGCAGAGAAAATAAGGCATCGGGAGCTTTTCTGTACGTCAACAATGAATATTTTAGTCTTGTGTCATAGCCATGCCTGGACAATATGGGCACACAGCAGCTGCTGACTCAACACTAATCATCTCTATATGGAAATCAGTATTTAAAAGTCTCTGTGCAAAGACGTGTTTTACTGCCGTGTCTGCTGGAGGTAACCAGTGTCACAGTAGGGTTTTACTGTTCCTCACAGAGAACTGTGAGCCACACAGACATGAAGCTGTGCTTGGTGTCAGTCAGTCAGTGATGTGATGGGGCCACTGAGCACAGCTCACAGCCCCATCTGAAGCAGAAACACGAGCAGGCAGCAGCTTCTGCAGCATTTGATATGAATGAACAGCAGGTCGTGAATCAGAAAAAGGACTCATCTGCCCAGAACAACCACAACCTAAACCCTGGGACATCAACACACACACCCACAGCCTTGACCAGCTGCAGCCCCAAACTGTGCACGTGACTTTTAAATTACAGAGCTATACACACGACCTCCTGAGACGCACCTACCCAGTGGTCCTCAACAGGCCGCTGTCATTTAACAACACGTTCTGCTCCGGAGTCTTAGAATCTAAGGAATATTCTGTTTGTCGCACAGTTTAAAAGAAAAGATTTGAACCCACCTCCCAAGCTTCCCCTCTTTGTCCTACGCTAGGTGCAGGTGGGCCATACCTGTGACACAGTGTGAGCACAGACTGAACGTCATCACCTTCATGGAGGAAGACTCGCTGCAGCACTGAGTCAGGTGTTCGTATCTCGGTGCTCAGTTTGTACAACAGGAACCAAAATTAGAGCTTTTTATTATGTATTTTATGAATATTCCTCTGATATACAAAAACTGACCTGAGTTTTAGGACACGTCGCTGTTTGAACCCTGGTTTAAAAATATAACCATTAAAACAGTTTCTTCTGCAAAAAGCTGCAGAACAGCAGCCCGGGTGCTCGTACGACCACCCGGGCTTCTGGCAGCCTTCTAACCCGTAGACTCCGACTGTTACTCCATTATCCTTATCCTGTTATTTACTTTACAGAGGCGGTTTTTAGATGAACCCCGAGAGCCGACAAAACGGGACTGTCGGATCCAAGGCTGTCCCCGCACTTGGTTTGCGTCTGCTGCGCAGTAACCCTGACCTGGTGACCCGAGGGGGTCTAACTGAGCCTACGAGGACCGGGTCCGCTGCTCAGCTCACGGTCGTGGATGAAACTCACCATAGTTAACTCCCATTTCCCCATATCGGCTAAGGAGCGCTGGTTTCCATCTGGACAGGAAATGTTGGACCGAAGTTCAGTTTCCACTTCGCGACTCAGCGGATCTAGAGCCGCATTTTGATACAGTGGAACCTTTTTAATCCTCTCGTTTGGAGTCTGCAGCAGAAATGCACCGGTCCGCTCACGTTACGGTTCCATCCTGCGGAGCGCGCTGTTCGGTGCTGCCGTGCGCCCGAGCCAACAGGGACCAGACCCGGGTCCTGTGAGATCTGTCTGACGGTGGACGGACTGAATCTCGCCGGGTTTTATAGCGGGAGGCGACCTGCGCTGCAGCGGTGGGAGGAGGAGGAGGAGCGAGAGTCTCCAGACCTGGTGCTTTTCAACTGGAGCTTTCTTATAGACTGACGAGCGAAGTTTTCCTCAAAGGGTGGAGAAAGTTCTCCAGGGTCTAGACCCGGATACACTCTCGGAGTAGCAGGGAGAAGATTCATCACAAAGCTTGACAAAGCTTCCAGCATCACAGGAATCATGAATGGTTCATTTGGCCACTGCTATGTAGAGTTTCACAACAAAAGTTGACCTGACTGTGTGAGAGCTGGTCCCTGAACACAGCTGCCACAGTGAAGAAAGCCCAGCAGCAGCTATACTTCATCATCAGGTGGCTCAGAAAAGCTGGGTTGAACCGTTGCCCTCTCACCCAGGCTTACAGAGGACTGGTAGAGAGCATCCTCACTACTGGCATCCCAGTCTGATATGGTAGCACCACACAGGCAGAGAGGAAGGCTCTGGGTCATAAAGACTGAAGAGAGGATCACTGGGACTGAACTGCCTGCTATGGACACACTCTACACACAGCGCTGTGAGAAATGTAAGAATATATGTGCAGTGACCCCTCACTAGACATGTGCAATAATAATAATACAGAAATGTTCCACAAGGTATTTTTATAAGAGCATCTCATCAACAGTGTTCTCTTGGGGGACCTGAATAACAGCAGGACATTCTCTACCAATGGAAACAGAATATAATATATAATATAATGAATATAAACTGTTTTAGTATGTTATAACCCCTCACTACCTCACCAAGTGTAATGACATATCCAACGCCACCATGTGAATTACTAAGGGCGATGTTTGAAGTTCACTGTGGGAAATACTATTACCCTATTTTTGTGTATTGCAGTTTTTAATACTTTGTTGCCTTTATCTAACTTTTTTATTTTAAGACTAACTGTTCTTTCTGGCCTTTGACTCCTTACCTGACTCCAAATGAGAGCTGCACAAGAATTCCTAGATGTCTAGACCGTTATGTTTATGTATAAATGGAAAATAAAAATCTTGACTTGACTTGATTAGTGTTTACAGCTATGAGAAAAGTGTGTATCTTCGGATAGAGAAGGTAACAATACGGGACACAGCGCTGCAGGCTGAAACCAAAACCTTTTGTAGAAACAGTACAACAGCAGACTCGGGTTTCCTCAGTGGAACTTCTCAGTGCAGGTTTCCTTTCCACTACCCAGCCAGAACAGTCACACCGCTCGACCCTCTGACGTCTTCAGGTGTGGTTTGTCCCTGGTGATGGCATCATGTATGAGTCCAGGCTGCAAACGCCCCGCAGCATCAGCCCCACCTGCTATTAACAGGTCAGCACCTCGAATATATTGTATAAGCCTTTGTATTGAGATGATGAGCGTCAGCCGAGCCGTTACCTTCCAGGCTGAACATGTGTCAGTCTAGCTGAGGGACACATCTGTGTGAGCATGAGGACGGTCTGCTAAATGGCAGGCAGCATGTCTGCTTTAACATGTCAGCATGCTACAGTAGCACCAAACACAAGGCACAGGTGAAGCTGATGGGAATGTGACTGGTTGTGCAGGTTTTAATTCATAAACCAAAATATTGGACAAGCTGAAATTCTGAGCTGACGGTGGCGATGAAAGATGGAAAGATGGAAAGTTAGGAGACTTGTTAGAGTGGCTAAAAAGCAGCTTCATGCTGCACAACCTGCAGCTGTTTCCCTGTGTAACACACTTGGCGTCGTCCACCCAGACCTCTCCAGGGTGTGCACGGCTCCAGCGACAGTCCACTGAATATTTTCTCCATTCTGCCATGTGAACCCTGTCAGGCAGCACAGCCTCCACTTCTGATGCTTGCACTGATTCATCCAGTGAAACCATTTCAAAAATCTCTGGTATGTGAACTCCACAAACCTGGGTGACATAGCGGCAACGATCAGTGTTGGCTGATGAGCCTCTGCACCCTTCAGAAATCAGCACAAACTAAAACTCACACGGGTCATAGACTTCAGGAATCCAAACCCCCCAGAGGACAGCTGACGCACAGAGCTGCACCAGCAGCCAGGACTGCAGCCAACAGCTTTGTAGCAACACAGCCCAGGTGACACATACCTGAAACCTCTGTGGCATCTGTGAGCCTCACAGCCCGTGGTGTGTCAGTCAGTTCAGCACGTTTGAATTCGGTCTGAACCTAAAGGTCAAATGATGGATGACGTAATTTACGCAGCCTTGTTTTCATTGAGCCACCACAAGAGTACATTCTTTACAGCTTATGTATTGTGCAGTGTGAGGGGAGCTGCTTCAACGCCAGACCACGCACACACACCATTAGCATCCATTGAACGTGGCCGAGCACTTAGCAGGAGGTGGAGACCAAACACGGGGAGAGCGAACCCTGGAACCACAAACAAAAGTCAAGTGTGAGTGACGTCACTGGTGACATTCCAAGCCTCACTGGTTCAGGAAGTGGTTCGAGTATTGCCGCGATTTATGAACGATATATATATATAGTTTAGATTTGACCATTTTCAGTATATATATA